TGCACGTGTCAGAGATGTTGTGCACGTTTCCCAGCAGTTGTCCACGTTTCACAGAAGTTGCGCACGTTTCACAGAAGTTGTGCACGTTTCACAAGCCCCCTAATAATGTTTGTGTTCAACTGCATTGGGGCGACCAAACACGTTCTCCCGAACATGATATAAGTTATAAGGCCTAAGACTATAGGAACAGGGATGACAGGGCATATATCATGTTATAACTGACATAAAGTAACATCATTAATAGCCCACTTTGGTTATTTCACTAGGCATGACCTGGCTGGCCTGTCAGGGCCGGCTCATGTCCACTGAACTCTCCGTGACCATCTTCCTGGATGAAGGCCGTCCGCTGATTCCACTGCCTTGGTCCAGTGGGTGACAGGGGGAACCAACGTGTTAAGGTTTTAGATACGTATGGGATATCTAAGCAACGACTGATGATATGTTTTACTTCCAGTTCCAGTTAGAATTGGATATGTAAGGCTTATATCCCAACTCATGGGGATGATTGCCATGGGACATATCATATATCTATCAATCACTCAAGTAAGTCCAATTCAATGGGTCACCCCCCACTTACTAACATCACTAACGGATCTACCAACGGTGGATAGTCACTCACTTCATATTGGGTTAATTTTAACATGTAAGAAACTTGTTATGTCCTTGGAGTTCGTGTTGATATCTCTTGGTGATTGGGGGATGACCATGATGACCATGATGACCATCATTCAACCACCTTTCAATCCTGGTGTCATCAAACCTGGCTGACTGGAATATCCCAATCAAAATAGCGGTTTATTTATAGCTGGGAAAACCATCGAACTAAATGAGTGATTTTCCAGCAAGCCATGGAGCTGATTACCAGAGCGTACGTTTTTTCAAGGAGTTTAGCATCGCTGGGGAGCTGTAGGAGCTGTAGGAGCTCTAGGAGCTGCAGGAGCTGTAGGAGCTGTAGGAGCTGTAGGAGCTGTAGGAGCTGTAGGAGCTGTAGGAGCTGTATCAGTCTGCAGTATCCAGCACTGAGATTCGCAGAGTCACTGGGTGGTCCCTTGACTTTGCCAGCAGCGTTTTGCGAAATCGCGGAGAACGGTCAACCCTGCAGCAATTCTACTTGGCACTAGAAATCACCATGCTAATCTTATTGAGATATATTAATTCAATTTATATAATTCATATGTATTAAATAATTGTCAAAAAGAGATTCCAGCAGTTGATTCAAGGGAAAATCTATAAACCCTTCTAATGGACGGGTAAACATCAGGTCTTCAGGTAGATGTTCACAGATGTTTCCCTTCATTAGACCCATAAAACATCATAAAACTATGGAATTACATGGAAAACATAGTTAAAACATAGCTTGTTTTTAATAACATGTTTATTGCTGGTTTCCAGGATATCATTTCAGCCAGGTTACGGGCCGTCGATTGTGCTGGAATTCCGGGACTTGGAGGAGAGACGACAGTCGGTGAGTCTTGGAATTCTGAATGGAATTCTTAATGGGATATTCATGATGAATGGAACATTCATGGAACATTCATGGAATATTTGTTGGGTTTCATGGTTGATTTTCTTCCAAGCCACGTATGATTTTGGGGGTTTCATGGTTGATTCAACAGCTTTGCTTTAAGGGAACATGGTTTTTCACAAATTTCCCATCATATCATTCTGGGATGTCTTGATGCAGAACACCGCATAAAATTCGAAGCCTTCACCAGTTTCATGTGGAAACAGATGGGGATTTTTCAGTTTTTTTTTCTGTTTTTTCCAGATTGGTTCGGTGTTTTGGAAAACAGGAGCGAGACACTTTTGCAATTTGCCTTTCGATGTTTGTGGACGGCAGAAAGGCCTGGGTCGTTATTTTTGTTTTTTCCGTTTGTTAGGCAGACATTGATATTTGAACATTATGGGATCATTATGTCATTGATAGTCATTATCAGTCATTGATACTTCAGTTTGTTAGGCAGTCATTGACCATATTGATACTTGAACATCGATCATGATCCCCTCGGTGTGGCCAGCATTGGCAGGTGGAAGTGGACTGCCGAGAGAAGCGTTCACTTTAGCGGGCACAGCAGGTGCCATGTCGTGAAAATTCGACAAGCACTTCAGATCTTTTACAAACAGGAAAGATACATGCTATCAGCTATCAGTTGATCTAAGTTGATCTAAGTTGGTCTAACTTGGTCTAAGTTGATGAATTGATCATCATCTCCACTGTTTCTCCGTGTTTTTCCATTCTGGGGTCATGTTTGAGATGTGAAAACTCACAGCAGCGTTGTTTCTTTTAGTCCAGAGTGGCCGGGTGAAATGGCAAGTTGATTGGCGCTGATCAGCCTACAGGAATAATGCAGCGAACGGAGTCAGAACTGGATTTGCGACAGCGCTGTAATTTTGTTGCAGCGATTGAAATTTCCATGATCTTCCATGGGATTGGTTAACCGTTAACCATGAATTAACATGAATAAATGATAGAAATTATAAGATATAACTACTGTATACTACTATCTACTGTAGATATATTGTAGTTATACATAGTTACACTGTAGATTCCATTGACCTGATAATTTGTAAGGCTGAGTGCCGCCATGAAACAATTTCTGATGGTGCATCGGGAATAATCTAGTTGTCCTGAGTTGTGATTCTGGTCCTGACGACTTCTTTTAGAATTGAGGTGGTTGCTACAGAAGGTAGCGCCACGCATCTCTCATGTAGGAATAGAAAGGCGATCCGTGCACGTCTGACTCCTGAAATATAGCAATGAAACTCACTGACTACATGGGGTGCAATTGAGGTTCACCCTGGTTGTAAACCCCCAAAAAGCTGGGATATAACCCCTATAACTACGTATGGTCGTAGTGTGCCTTTACGGGCCTTTTTTCTCCACTTCGTTTGTAAGGTGGAAGAGGCCGCTGCAGGTGGTGCAGGTGTTTCACAGGGAGCTTCGGCAGATCAGCAAGACCTGAGCTAAACCCCTGTTGGTTGATGATTAGTTCAGGGATTACCCTCTGGTAAACATACAAAAAAACTATGGAAACTCACCATCTTTAATAGGTACTGTATATAAATCAACTATAAATGTGCCATTTTCAATAGCTATGTTAAATTACCAGAGGGTATACTATCTGGGGATTGTCGCTTGAGCACTGCTCACTCGAGCATTTCATGGTCTTCTTGCTTGGTCTGACTCAACCGCGTTGCTCCTGCAGAAAATAGGATGTCACTGCGAGACGGCGACGTCAAAAAACTGATGTCTGTGCCAAACATGTGTGTTCTTCTTCTGTCACCAGATCACTGGTTGCTTTAATAGCTCCAGTTTTTTGATTGAACATGATGAGTATTCCATATTCTTGGGATGGTTTGAACCCGCCAAAGATGTTTGTTTTCTGCACCTTGAGCACGCACGATGTTTGAAACGTTCGGCTCAAAGTGGCCAGGGGGTTCAGCCTCTGGCAGGAACACTATGGCCGGGAAGGTATGATGATGTGGAGACATCCGCAAAAAGGAATGGCAGATCCAAGTGATGTCCTTATCTTCACTATATATCACTGTAATTACATCACTGTACTGACAGGATTCATACCATTTTTATTATACTGATAGATTGATAGCATAAAGTCATTTTTTCCTTGCTCACCTGTTTAAAAAAAACGGCTGAGAGTAGCGTGTGAAAAGCTGCTGTTTGGGTGGCTGAAAGGCTGGACCGCACTGATGGTGCACCGAAAGTAGGAGTTGTGCAAAGGTCAAAATTGTTTAGTGTCAACATTTAGATCTGTTTTCCAGTCCTATCGAAACATGATTAACTCATCAAATCACTACTAGTATACGATAGTATGCGTGTATAGGTCTAATCAATCTAATCATTGTTTCCGGAGTTCCAGAAAAACTCTGAAAAACTCATCATGCCCGGTCTTCAGCACTTGCTTCATGACCTGCGGTTTGGGCCAACTCCACCCCAAGGGAGTCAAGCCTCAGCTACAGGTGGCATGTCGAAGTGTGATCCTCGGATACCATCGGAGACCTGGAGCACTGCAAAGTGGCATTCCAGATTGGTTGGCCGCTTCGTAGTCAATAGGTAACATGTTATCACCATTGATTACCTATATAAAACATGTTCATACATTTTCCAACTTTCCTCTTTCCCACTCCTGCTTTTTGCAAATGTTGATGTTG